TATCAAAACTTCTCACTTGTTTACATTCCACTCGTCAAAATGTGTGCCCTTTTGTGGCAAACCGAGTGTGGCCTAATCACACTTGCTATTCACCCCGACCCCCTCTCTTCCGATCGGCATATCCGACTCCGGCCTCCATTTCGGATCCCCTCATTGTCTCGGAGATGCGTTCCTTATCTTTCTGGTTGACCGATTTCACTCCGTTCCAGTCCCTGCGTGCATTTCACTCCCGGCGCTATTACTCAAGGGCCCAGAAGCACGTACACTTCCGGTTCACTGGGCAGAGCGCCTAAGCTCTGATTCCCATGCTTGCAGATATCAGGTCTTCCCTTGACGGGTCCTCTTCTTGATTAAACCCATGTTATCTGAGCAAACTGTGGACGCCTATCTCTGGCCGCATGCAGCATCTCAAGTGGATTTCTAGTGTATTTTGGCCGTGACGGTTTGCTTATCCAACTGCCTAGCTCCTTGACTGCCAGGCCCCAAAAGTTGTACTGGTTTATTCGAAATGGATATCACTCACTCACGACGTCTTCGCTTAATTGCCGAATACCCTACCCCCCACTTTCGTCATCACAATCCCTTTTCCTTCGGTTAGCAGCAGATCCTTGATCCAGGCGTATCCTTTTTCTGGTCTTGCTCTATCCTTATTGAAACGCGAAATAGTGGACTTTAAACAAAATAATCATCTTGATGAAATTAGCTTTAAATATAAAAATTATCTTGAATGCAAATCGTAAGATCTCCCCTTTTATAAATACTGTTTTTCAGTATAAATATCGGGCCTTGAAACCACAACTATCAAAATGATATTCAGATAGGCCTTCCAAACTGGAAAATTCTGTTTTTAAACCATTTTGGTATGATAATATCTATCACTAGATGAAAGCAGTAATTTGATTAACCACGTAATAAGCTAACTAATTAACATCACGTTTTTATTTGACCCGACTCTCATAATGTTTTTATGATTCCATACATAACAGTAAGGTTGGATTCATATTTTCTTGGAGGTCTGAAAGCTTTAAGAATATAGAACTAAAAACTAAAATTATTAAAGCTTTACTCTATAATAGTCTGGTTTCATACATATAAAATAGTTGAAAAAAACTAATATTATATGTATGAATTTAAAAAATCTCTTACTCCTTGCCAGTTGACATCTAGATATTTTGAGAAATATTTCTTCGTACGCTGTGGAATCTCTTTTCCTTCATATTAAACCCTTCTAATGACTTTATATCACCTCAAATTTACGTTTTTATGTAAAATATATATTGTATTTTATTCTCTACATTAATTCAATGCCAAGGGTTAAAACCCCCCCAAATTTTTAAGAACAAATAAAATGATGATTGGTCGCTTAAAAATACAAAATCTGTAGCGAACAGCTTTTATCATTTTTATAAAAATAAGACTCAATTTATGTTAACGTCTTAACATGCCTCATAAATAAACGAAGCAATTTACAGATGTGATACTGACTAGCCAATCAAATGGTTTAAATCATATAGCCACTAAAGATATGGAATAATAAGTGCCTACTTAAGTAAGAAAAATTGTCTTTTGAATTGGATTAAGCCAACAAAGTAATTCCACAAAATTGTAAACATTAATTCCATATGAATAATTCCAAAAATTAAAATGAAAGTATAAAATATAAAATGATTTTAAATG